TCTTAATATTTCAGATAAGTGAATGGCAGTTATCTTATTTCTGTTGTCATGTACTGTGAAACTGTTTCAGCCTGATGTCTCTTTGCCATCACAGTGCACTGTTAAGATAAATGGATAATCTTTATTTATCCACGGTACAAAATTTCGCCACCTACTTGGAAAGAAAACCATTAACCAGAGGATGAAAGATGGTGTGCTGCCAAATTCGAATTCTCAGAACTGTCTTTTGCAAAATGTAAGACTGTTAGTAAGGAGAATTGATACTTGTCGAGCCTCGAACCAAAAGCTGATTTGGAGCCGTGACGGCCACTTATTAACATATCCCTCAACGCTTCTAAGAACGAAGCATATAGAAACAAAAGGAACCATTCCAATTCAGTGAGATAAAAATGGGCGGCCCGGTATTCTACGATCTAGCTGTTGATTTAGGCCGTTGAAGTGAACTGTCTACTTGTTATTTTGCTTTCATGTCATGTACTGATGAACAAATCAGAATCAAACTTGCTCGAGTAACAGTGAATGTCCTTGGTTTTGGTTTTACCTGAGACGTGGAAAACAAGAAAAACTTCGTCATTTTGTAGACGACCTCCAATGGCTGATTGTTGCAACAGTTAAATCTGACAGAGTGCACAATTTGCATTAGTGCCCAATGGAATTCTACTAATTGATTTTGTTCCTTTTGCCATTTACCACTTAATGGTTTGTCTCAAACAAGTAATAAAAATGGAAATGCTCATGTCAAAATGTATTCATGATCGAGAGTCGCATACACAAAGAATTTCATTAACTATACGAGGTTGATGTATCGTCAAATTATTAGAATTAACCTAAAAAACTTTGTTTTATTGAATTAACGGAATAACATTTCAGCGTCAAATGATTTAGAGATCCCGTAACAAACTAAATATTAAATACTAATGTGTAATCAATAGATTATTTAGGGCATTGATAAAAATGGCTAGAAAAATGATGCAAATTCAAACTAAAATGAGTAAAATATCTACACTTAACGAAAACTTGTATTCTTTGACCAAAGGGTAGTTTAGAGCCAGGATAATCACAACTGGTATCATTTAAAAAATTTGTTTTCACCAGGTTATTTTATTCCTACACGTTGTGAACTAGAAAAACCATTTGGTATACATGATGTATCTTAACTAAATTTCTAAGAATATGGTCAGTTAAAGAAATAATACCCTAAGAGATATTGCTTTGATGGGCCAATTTTCAAATAAATTTTAAAAAAATTGCCAAAGAATATTCATAGGATTGCTAAGAAAAGTAAAAAAAATTGTCAAAGAATTGTCAAAGAATTGTCAAGGAATTGTCAAGGAATTGTCAAGGAATTGTCAAATAATTTTCAAAAAATTCTTAAATAATTGTCGGTTTTTCAAAGAACTTTTTAAGAATTTTCTTAGAATTGTCCAAAAATTGTCTAAGAATTGTCTAGGAATTGTCAAGGAATTGTCAAGGAATTGTCAAAGAATTGTCAAGGAATGGTCAAGAAATTGTCAAATAATTTTCATGGAATTGTGGAGGAATTGTCAAGGAATTATCAAAGAATTCTCTAAGAACTCTCAAAGAATCGTCAAAACTAGAACTGTCGAAACATTGTCAAAGAATTTTAGAGGAATTCTTAAGAAATTGTCAAGAAATTGTTAAGGAATTGTCAAGCATTTATCAAAGAAGTTTCAAAGAATTGTCAAAGAATTGATAATTTGTTTCGTCGACTGATATCTACCACCAATTTTGACAGGAAAACATGCGTGCTATTTTAAATCTAGATTTAAGATTACTTAGAATATTTAGTTGTTTAGGTAGATAATTATTTTGCTAATTATATTGAAGTAACTTGTTTATTGTGATAGTTATGTAGTTAGCTCCACGATATTCGTATCTGGGTGCTACTCTGTAAATTTCGAGAATAAAGTTTATGTATGTATGTATGTATGTGAAAGAATTATCAAGGAATTGTCATAGAATTGCCATAGAGTTGTCATAGAATTGTCACAGAACTGTCTAAAAATTGTCTAAGAATATTCTGAGAATTGTCTGAGAATTGATTGAGAATTGTTTAAGAATTGTCTAAGAATTTTCTAAACATTGTCAAAGAATTGTCAAAGATTTCTCAAAAAAATTGTCTAAACATTGTCAAAGAATTGTTTACGAAATGTCAAGGAATTGTCAAAACAAAATTCGAAGAATTGTCTAGTAACTGTCAAAGAAATGTTTAAGAAATGTCCGAGACTTGTCAGAGAATTGTCCAATTGTCAAGAAATTTTCAAGGAATTTTCAAGGAATTCTCAAAGAATTCTCAAAGAGTTGTTTAAAAATTGTCTCCGAATTGTCCACAAATTGTTAAAGAATTGTTTAGGAATTGTCAAAGAAATGTCTGAGAATTGTCAAGAAATTCTCGAGGAATTGTCAAAGAAATTACAAAGAAATTTCAAGGATTTGTGAAAGAATTATCAAAGAATTTCGAAATTAAGAATTGTCATTGAAATGTCTAAGAAATGTCTAAGAATCGTCTAAGAATTGTCTAAGAATTGCCAAAGAATTGTTAGTTGGTCAAAAAATCGTCCAAGAATTACATAAAAATTGTCTAAAATTTTTAAAGAATTCTCAAGGTAATGTTTAAGAAATATCTAAGAATGGTCTAAGAATTGTCTCAGAATTGTCTAAAAATTGTTTAAGAATTGTCAAAGAATGATCAAAAATCCTAAAAGCGGAATAGAAGTTCTTAGACAACTTTGACGATGAATAGTTTCAAAGTGTCTCATTAACATTGATCCAGATATTTAAAATTATTCTCTTACTGATTTCTTTGAAAATGGTCGACAGTGAATACTTTAATTCCAACTAAATATTTATCTTTTTAACTTTTATTTGTTGAGGCGGCTTAACTTCTTGTACAGTGACCCTTATATTTGAAAAGGTTAAGTACGATGTTATGCAAGGTGGCTCAATTGATTTATTGATTTATCGCGTTCCGCGAGGTAGTGTTATGTTTTAAAAGCTGTTTTTGCATTCGTTTTATCACTCAGTCCCCTAAAACTTATTAAATGTAATAAGCACTGATGATATATTACTATCATCTCTGTTAAAATCTTGGCTCCTTGAATTATACCGTTTTTTTACCGTTTTTATAGCTTTATATGCGATCTTCTTGAATTTCCGTCGGTGAAATCTTCCAAGTTTCTTATAGTACATTAAACCCGGCGGGATACAAATCTTAAACACGAAAACTTAAAGTAGGGTTTGTAAAGGCAGTTTTTTAAGATTTTTACAAATTTTTGCCTTTTATACGCGGCGAAAAAAGTGGTCAGGTAGATTACCCTAAAAAACGAGCTCCAGCAAAAGTATTCATTGCTCGTCTGCCAAATTTTACGGAATTCTTCGAAGGAAATTAAAAGTGAGAAAATTCACTGTCAGTTTTGCTTTTAGTGCTCGTGTTGACGTCATAAAATATCATAAACTAGACGCTCTAAGAGCAATTTAGTCCACTTACTCGGCATTCGTACCGCAAGTTAGCGTATTGAATACAATAAAAACTTTACATTGTGTCTAGATACCCGGTAGCCGGGAAGTGTTTCCAGAAAACTAGATACCCGGCAGTATGAAATTGTTATGGAATTTCCACGAAAAAACCCATCACTTAGAATAGAAGATCTTTGTTTAGAAATGTCAAGCGATTTCAAGTATTATATTGGCTTGGCAGTTGAAGAAATTTTCGAGCTTGGAAATACTATAAAATCTCGACGTTTTGAAATTTAGTCCACAATGAAAATAATATTTCTTCAGAAATGCTAAGCGACTCTAAATAGTGTTTTGGTTTTGTAGTGGACGAATTCTCCCAGCCATACTACAAAAATCTTGACTCGCTGGTAAGGTTGTTCAAAGCACTAGCTACCCGGCGGTCAAAAATTCATAGATAAGTAATTTCCACAAAAGTTATTGATAATTATTATTACAAACATCCCGAGAGTATTTGAGTATTTCAATCTTTGGTCTCAAGCGCCAAGCGATTTTATTCAATGATTTGAGTTTGCAAGTTGTCCGACGAACTAGTGTGACTCACGGTTACGGTTTTTCAAAAATACTATATATACTCGGCAGTCGGATTCTGTCCGTTTTTCTACCGAAATGCTCATTCCAACCTGCTGAGAATGCTCGATCTGTGTAGAAATACCAATGGATTTCCGAACTGCATTGAATTCACAATTGTCTCGGCATGGAAGCACATAACAGACCATAACATGACGAAAGTCTCCTATAGGTTGCGAAAGTCTGCGAAAGTCTGCTACAGGTTGCGTGACATTGTTGATACCAAGACCTACTGAGTGACGGCAGATCTACTACTTTAAGAAATGAATTAATTATTCCGTGGAAATAACAATTTCATACTGCCAGGTATATAGCTTTTTGAAAACACTTCCCGGCTGCCGGATAAAAACAAATAAAAGAATCAGGACACTTTTTAACACAAAGAGTTACGCTTAGATATTTACTATTCAAGTTGCTTCGTTGAGTACACTCTTTATCCAAATGCATGCTGTTTGCCTCATCTTTCAAGTTCTTCTTACGACTATTCTTTGATTTTTCAACATCAGAGTTGTT